ACTTGATCATCAGTATATAAGTGCCCACTGCTGAGCAAAGGCCTCTTCTCACACGGAGAAGAATTGAGCATTAATTACTGTGCTTGCTTAAGCAACCGCACCGTGATGCATGAGATCTGGCGCTGCTGGATCTGTATAATCTTTAAGATAATCAATTCTAGAAAATCTTGTTGGTTTAAACAATCGAAATAAAGACGAATGATCCTAATTCAAAGCGATCCCAAAACCGGATTTAAATGGAAATATATTTAAATAAGTAGCCGTCCTTCGGTCCCATACAATCTATTTAGGTAATTGTACGGTCGTTGACAAAATTATATCCGTTGATTGTACCCCGTTTCTGCAATCCTAGTAGGACGTGCATTGCATCAGTAATAGACTGGATATTGAATTATTTGAAATTTTAACGAAATAGACTGAGTCGTCTGGCTGTTTGTGACGAGTGGCTTTATTGTGTAGGTACTGGATACTTAGATTTTTTTACTAACTTTCGCTCGCGTGGTATTTTGATAAAAGGCAGCCTAAGTGTTAATAACATCAACTATGTATACACCAAATTTCAACCAAATCGAAATAACAATCATACATCTGTACATTCTCACTAACGTTCACATTCATAACATTACTTATTGTGGACTATTATTGTGGACTACTTATTGTGGACAGCGTTGTGGGTTACATTATGACCACAACATAAAATTGTTAAACTAGTTGTAAGTCTTTATAATGTATCTGTTTGCTGTTCCTCAAAATAAATAAAATAAAAAAAAAAAAATTACTAGGATAGAAGGATTATTTATGTTTCCAAAGATGTAAACTTCTGCATCCAAAGATGGAGTCTTCCAATGCAGACATTATTTGCCTAAAAGGAAATTCCGATTGAGAAACCTATGTTAGTAAAAAAAATTGGTTGAAATAAACATTTTTGTATTCCTTTTTTTTTTTGTAAATGGAGGTGAATACTCAGTAATGCTCACTATTTTTTTAAGAGGCCGATTCTATAATTAGTCAACACAACTTGTTCTTTGCTTTCCATGCTCCAGAACTAAGCTGCTCGATGGAAAGGTAGGTTTCTCATCCCTTTTACATGTAAAAGATGTATCTATTTGGCAGTTTACCTTGCATTAGAACCTAATGTCAGATGTTGAAATCTATCTGTATCTCCCTGTCTGAACAGATATTTGGTATGTAAGTTAAAAAAGGCTCCCTCATTAAAAAGTCACCCTTGTAACTTTTCTACCTACAAACCAGTTAAATAAAGTTAAAATCATTACTTCCTTCGATTACTAGAATAAACTAACAATTCGTAAGTACAAAGGCCTTCGTAAGTTTCTCTATAAGTGATGGATGGGTAGGCACAGCGCTTGCGTGTTCAGCCATTAGTCAAATAGCTTTTCCATCAAGATTAACTTATCTGTTTGGCTGACTACTACAAAGTTATTTCAGGGGACGTTGGTTATATGTTTGAAAAGGACAGAGATATTGAAAGAGACAGATATAGGTAGATTTATATGAACGAAATGATTTTGACGAGATTGTGTTATCAAAATGGTGGTGTGGTGTGATAGGTGAACGAAATAATTCCATATTTCAAAGGTTAAGTAACGCTACCTTGGAGGCCAACTGAGACTGAATTCAGCTCTTCCTTTTTATGTACCTGTAATAAAGAATAATAATTCTTATTGACAAAAAATCATGGCGGCGGGTGATCCTTTAAGATCAACATAAAGACGACGTTGCCCCATACTTGAATTTACTCTTGTGCCGTGGGTGTGTTTAAAAACTTACAAACTCACTTACACAAGCCACCCAGACCTCAAACAACAATTCGTGGATCACACAATGTGTTATTCCGTGCGGGAATCGAAGCCCCGACACCTGGCACTGCAACTAGGTGCCCAGCCACTGCACCAATCGTGCAGTCAATCCTAAACTAGGCTACGGTCAGCTCGGTATGTTATGCAACATTCACCCAGGCCCACCACACCAAGAGCGGCAGTAGCCATTACATATTTTTTCTTTGTCAAAAGATACGCCATTTTAAATGTGCATATTTGTGATTTTTAATGTGACGATTTTTTTTTTGATTGGAAAATCATCAAAAGTAGTGTCAGGCTCCTACTGACTAAAACCCCCCTGTTCCTTCCCCTGCTCTAGGCCGAGGTCGCGGTGCCCCATTGCGCTTACCCCGCAACCCCGGCGAAGTGACGAAATGTGTGTCTTTACGATTGTTGGCTATAATTAAGACTTCAAATTTCAAAATTCGAATATGAGTAGGTATACATACAAAAATTTGTATTGTTGTATTATTAAATTGTTTAACGACTTGTTAAACTCAAAATGCACTCATTCATGTATCCGACATATCAGTTTATGAATTTTAATAAAATAATGATAAAATCGAAATAATACGCACTTGACATTATGTTTGTAGGATTTGGTGAGTCAACATGTAAGTACCTACACGATGACTCACATATTTTGTTTAATGCAAATGAGTCAGGATATATTATCAAGTTATCACGGATATGGTTTTATCTTTAACTTTACACGTAGGGCACTTAATCCAGATACTGTCCACATAATACCTAGAGATACATTTTCAAAATGATATCAATTATTATCAATCATTAAAAAATATTTGTTTTCATTTAAAATGTCAGATTGGTAAAATTTTATCGAGTACGTGATTAGGGCAGTTTTGACTGGTCATTCTTGTTAAGAGTCAAGTTTAGTTAGCTAGTAACTAGGAATGGGCGTATGTACGTCAGATTAAAAAGATAAGCGATAGTATTCGTCCTCAGCATCGACGTCATTACGTGCCACATTCTTGGTTCCCAGTTACTTATTTATTAGCTTTAATAATGATAGATTATGTGTGATAGATTGATGTGGTGGTGGCCCGGAGGTTAAGGAGCCCGCTTCTCATGCATGAGGGTGTGGGTTCAAAACCTGGCAAGTACCAATGTGACTTTTTCCGAGTCATATGTACTTTCTATGATTATTTAGATATCACTGACATACGGTGAAGGTAAACATTGTGAGGAAACCTGGACTTATAATTTCTAATTATAAGTTTTAAATTACCAACCCGCATTGAGCAAGCGTGGTGATTAATGCTCTAACCTTCTCCGTGTGAGAAGAGGCCTTACCTCAGTGGTGGGTACTTATAGGCTGATGATGATAACCAGGCCACCCCCTGGCCAATATTGCTACATACGAATATACTTCATGCTCCTTAACCTCCGGGCCACCACGACTTCTATTATTTTTTTATGGAATACCAGGATGGCCTGGTATTCTATAAAAAATGGATAACAATGAAAAACACATTTATTTTATTATTTATTAACATTTTGTGATAAGTTTAACTGTGTATTAGTAAACTTATCATTAACCTATATTAATTGTGTGTTACGAAATATGTATGAAACAAAAACACCTGTCTGTAGTGGTAATTGATAACGTGAATACAAGGGTATTATTGACTGGAGGTGTGTCCTGTGTTATGTGTGATAAAAATACTCCAAAACTATGAATAAGCATTTAATCTATTAAAAAAATGTTTGTTGACATTTCTCACGGTCAATGTCAAATGCTGTTAATATATGGATGGCGGTCAGTACTTTGCGTACTGAGAAACGTACTGATGCAATTGAATTTCGACGCGTAATTTATTGAAAAAATATCATTTTTATATTATTTTTTTGAGTATCATGGTCAGATTTTTAATTGAAAATTTATAATTTCTTTCAACATTTTCCTTTTATTTTGAATCAACTTTATTTTAAAAAAAGAAATGTGCAAAAGCACGCTGTGGCATGCTTGTTTTTACAATTATTATTGTAGTTGATAATTCTTTGTAAGTTGGTACCAGGGATGTTACGTATATTATGGTTTTTCGGATCTGGATGAGGATATAGGAATACAATTATATCGGAAACAGATAGATTTTCTCTAGGTCCTTTAGATAAGGATGTTAGATTACAGTAAAGTAAATAAAACTAACTACAACGCTTGTTATGTTTCGGTGAGAAAAAGAACGAACAAAGAGTTTAACATGGCTTGGAAAAAATCTGCCGAAATCGAATTTGCTTTGTTACGACTCTGTTCGCAAAACGCGCTTAAACTTTAATCCTTATCCGTAACTATCCGAAAGTTGCGAAACGGATACGGTTCCGAGTTCGGTTTCGGTTAACGTTAATAGTTAACATCCCTATTCTAGAACCGGAAAATTCATTCGCATGTTATTTGGTCCAGCAGTTCGGAAGTTATACGCGTGCTTACATTTCAGTGTTGTGTTTTACTATATTAACAAGGTGAATATTAAATAATTACAATACCCTCGTAAGGTCCAATCTAAAAGGTCGATATATATTACAGCCTTTACGTAGGTACTAAAAACGGTCCAAACTTTGATTTAGAAAAAAAGTGTTTCAATTTCAGATTCAAATTGGTAAAATAATTTATTCCAAAAATACGTTTAAAAACCATGTCATAATTTTAGGTCACTAGGTCCTAATTTAATAATTTTAAAAAATGTCTCGGGTCGGTGTGTCGACTTTCTTTTTGTCATTAGATTAGATCGTTGGGTCTTACAAGGATTACAGTGCGTCGCGTCCTGCGCGCCCCTAAAAGAGCCAATAGATCACCACAGACCATAAAGCTGATGTTCAATCGGGGTTGCGGGGAAAGTGCAATAGGTACCGCGGCCTTGTCCTGAAGCAGGAGAAGGAACGGGGGCGTTTTAGTCAGTAAGAGTCTGACACTCCCTCCCGCCCCACTCTGAGTGGCAGAGGTCATTCGATGATTTTCCTCTCACAAAAAAAAGGTCTGACGAGGATATATTATCACAAAACAACAAATTTTGGCGACTACTTCATTAGTTGCTCGTTAGTGTATATTGGTGCCTATTATATTTTAAAAGGAAGGAAAACAAATTATTTTAATAGTCCTTCCTGAATAATGATAAGTTTGGCATTTTGCCATTTGTCGGTGCCGATATCTTTTCAGTGTTCGACAACACTTTATCAAGTATAAATCGAGCGTTTATCGATACGATTTCAGTACTATCTCTAGCGTTGAGCGAAAACAAAGTTACAGTGAATTCAGTGATACGAGAGCATTAGTATACTAATAATAATAAAATGAATTCAAACGAAGTGAACGAAAACCAGGAACAAATCTATGACCGTAAGTACATTATTTTCATATATTCATTTTCATCATTCATGTTCATTTTAATTCTCACGTTTTTTTGGATTTTATAATTTTATTTAATCTTATCAACAATTACATCATTTAGATACATCATTTAGGTTTTTGACTTTCATTACTTATTTTTTCATCTGTAAGGTCTGGTTATAATTACAACATATTCTCAAAGGAGCATTTATATGCAAAGGCTTTTTTTACTACTCTGTACTGTCAACTTGCTAAACACATGTTGCACATACGTACATAATAGTTTGTACACGGTTCTTTTTTCAAATTGACTTGGTGCATAATTGCTATCTAAACATTTAAAAACAAGGCCCTTAGAATCCATATTTATGATTCATTTCAGAAAAAGACATACATACGATTTTCTATAGTGTGACGTCTTTCGTGAGTGCCTATTGGTATTTCTGACAGATAAAGATAGGTGATTATGACGTAATCAAACTTTAAAAACTTATTATTAGTAGTAACTTATATATTACTGCTTAATTTTTTATAATTGATACATTTTCTACAAAAAAGTATTCCAAGAATTGCCTGCCGGTGTACCGTAGTATTAAGGAAAACCCCTCTTTTAATCGTAGATTGCGGCGGAACGGAATTGGTATTTAAGTAGGCTTTCACAATACCAGAAAGAGAGGCGTTTTTTTAACTGAAACATTACACGACTTCTCCCACCCATAATTTGGGGCGAGAATGTTAGACTCTTATTGATGAAGAGCTACCCCGTTCCTTCTCCTGTTTCGGGGCTGCCGCACAATGACCTGGGGGGCCTGTGTGTGACCTGAGGAGTGTGAACATTGTATTCTACCTTTCATTGCATTGTATGTATTAATGGACACAAAATTTCTATTACAGCTAAGGGTTTGGGTAGGCCACCACCATACTCAGAGTTTGCAACGCCTCCACCTCCAGTGGTCCAGCCAGTACCCGTCGTCGTGCCAGCAGCCGTTCCAGTGATAGTCCAACAACCACAAGTTACGCCAACCCCGATCTCAGTCTCAGTGCCTGACAACGTTGGACCTGAGGCAGTGTCTATGATTTGCAAATTCTGCAACAAGCAGATCTATACAAGAGTTGAATACAAACCAACTGCTAACACTTATTTGATTTCTGGACTATGTTGCTTGATGCTGTAAGTATCTTTATTATTTATATTTTCATTCACATTATTAATCGTTTTCATTAACTGGCCAGGTCCTCGGACATTTGAAAGACGAATTAGGGTCCGAAGTCAACTCGTAGAGGCCCGTTGAATAATACATTACAAGCAATTAACCCTTTATGCTCCACGAAAGAACACTCACAGTCAACCTTCGATTAATGTAAAACATATATAGTTTTTTCATATTATTATCAACATATTTTTTCTTTCTTCCATTTGTCCCAACTTGACCAGACCAGATGAATTTTGACTATACACGTTTAGTTCATCCTCAACCTGTATTTTCTATTCCGTGTCCTCAACTGTAATCTATTTTAGTTTGATTTGAGAAGAGTTCATGTAAACAGTATTCTTTCTTTTGAACGTTAATAAAACTTGCTTGTTTTACTAAACCTGCAGTGTAAAAAGACGACATTATTTTGAATTTTTGAAACCTTTCGCAATGATTACGGGTTATTTTACGGCTAGCATTAATTCGAATCTTTTCTTTTCTATTCACAGATGCTGGCCATGTGCGTGCTGCATTTACTGCTCAGCAAACTGTCGGAACATAGACCACTATTGTCCAAACTGCGACACATACATCGGCACCTACACCCATTAGCACTTCAAAAACGATAAAGGGATCCTTTATCGGATGTATTTTGAAGAAAATATTTGGTTTTGGTAATCAAATCGTAAGAACAGGGCAATATCGCTCGGGTACTTACAAATGATTTGATTGGATGGTGATCAAACAATAATTCCACCGTCATCGATAGGGAATCGATAATTATTTTAATCGATAAAGATGTGTTACTATCGAGTACAACTGTGATAAATAAAGAATGAGTGTTTAATAAATAATGTGTTTTATTTTATTCGAATATTTAAAACAATTCACTTTCAATTGATAAAATTGGAAATTATTGCTTTTGGGCCTTTTTCAAAAGCCATCGATGTCTTGTATCTATGTTTTATTTCTGTAATGATCTATGAAAACAATAATTTGCAAAAATATACAGAATAATCTCTTTATTAATATAGTTGCATTTATACTCCTCACTGACGACTCCGTACTCACGACTCCGTACTGAAACCTGGTAATTGAACTTAATTACGAAAATTTTCTAAAAAATCCTAAAGAGTAGTCAGGTAAAGGAGTAGGGATAGTATCTTTCTGTATTTTTAAACTCTTTTTTTGTCTTTATACATTCTGTATTAATATCAAATTGAATCAAAATCGGTTCTGCAGTTCGCATGATTTTTAATTTGAATATTTATATGTAAATAGTACACCTTTGTTCGTAAGTACGTTAGCCAAGCAGGCGTATTATATTTTCTCAGTACAGCTTTTATCCTTTTTTTAATGTTGAAGAACGGCAAACAAATAGACAGGTACCTGATGCATTTCGGCTCGTGTGATTTCGGTTTGGTTCGTGTGATTTCGGTTCGTGTCGTATAATTTAGGTCCAGCTCGTATGATTTCGGTTCGGTCCTCAAGTTCTGAGATGAAATTAATAAGATGACTGGACTAGCACTTGATGGGCGTTTTAGACCATAGGCTATTTACTATTTACATGTTTCCAAAAATATAACCTTTATCACTTGATATATATTTCTATGAATATAAGGAAATAATACCAAAAACTGCTGTTATCTTAGGTAACACGCCGTGGCGGGCGATAAAATATCAACATGCTTAGATATGCTTATACCTATGTAACATTTGACACTAGATAAATGCTGTAAGTACCCATGTATGATGTGCGTACTATGAAGCTGATGCACCTAAACCTACATATAGTTTGGTCAACTGTATTTGATTTTTGTTAGCTTTAAGAATTTGTATTTTTTTATTTAAAATCAAGCATATATAGCTTTTATTATCCCAAAAAGCATTTTTTTAATATACTTTTTTCGAAGTACAAGAACACAAATCACTTTACTGCTTCTGCGAAGCAATTATGATCGCAAATGAGGAGGCGGAGCGCGTGAGGGACCTATAAATGACACTCCGGGCGTCGGAATAGGGCGATGATCTCCAGCTACCGTAAGCGCGAGACTCGGGACGGCGAGCAAGGCTAGCTGACCGCCCGACCAGAACCTGACCCGAGCGTACGGCACGTAGCGTTCCGCGCGCGCGTCTCAAAGAGCCAATAGATTCCGAAGAGCTCACAGTCTGGGCCCTACAGGGCTGATATTCATTCCGGGGTTGCGGCCTCGTCCTCGGAACTGAGCCCAAGTTAAACTAAGATGGCAAAACTTTAGTATGGTCACGTTGCTAACTTATTTTCGTTTGACTATTTATTCGAAAAAAAATTAACTATCAATTATTGTTATCAGTAAAATCAACTTATCAGTCTGAAATCAAATGCTGCATAGCATATCCATACCACATTGCAATTTAGCGTCATCTTATAGGTATGACGTCCATGATATAACCCAATATTGATTGTTTTGTACCAGTAATTATCTTTATGTTGTTAATGTTTATTGAAAATATAAGATTAAAGTACTTACCTATAGCAGGTGTACACGTTTTTTATCAATTCTTATTAGTCTGATAAGCTAAGTGGTCCCAAATCTACGAAGTCTGAGCACAATCCTTCCCCCTCCCAACCCCAATTCTTTAATCGTAATCCCTAAAAAATGGGCACCTTTTAATTTTTGCATCTGTAAATGGGTGGCACTGCCAATCATCAATCCGTTTGGTCGTTTGCCGACTTATCTTATAAAAACTCCACAGTTGTTGTACAATGAAAAACAGTTTGTTGACTACAAGTTTGTAACTGTGGTTTTAGTAAAGCGGTTGCTTAGCAACGTGTTGCAGTTTTGATTGCTATTAGGAACAATGACGTATTATATATAGATACGTCATGAACCAACATCACGGCGCTTAAAAACGGCGAAAATACTAGATAACTACTTCTACGAGTAAAGAAAGAGAAAGAAAATATGACATCGTATAGTGGAATGCCTTTGCTAGAGGGAGATAAATATACATCTTCAGTTACTTCGGCACGTGACTATACCTTCATGCGCCGGCCGCCATAAGATGGCGGGCGCCGGCGTCGAAAAAATAAAATAAAAATAGGTTGTTTGGTGAACTTACGCATGAAATGACACATTTTTGTCTTTAACTTTTGGAGTATAATTTGTACATCGTCTGAACACACACGACGGCATGCTTTCTTTATGTTTCGCACAGGTTTACACACACGATATAAATTAAAAACAAACGTAGCGTCGCGCGGCAGGTTGGTGCGTAACTAAGCGCGATGTTGTCAATTGCCTTCATTTCATGTTGTCATTTTAGAGCGCGGACAACGTATCTATAGTTTTATACATCATTATTAGGAACAATTATTATTGTGTGTACTTGAAAAATGGTTATTTCGGATTTGTTTTCGATGTATATGAATTTGAATGTTTTTCATAAATCCCACTTACAAACCCAGGAAAATATCCTCCTCCTATAAATAAATGTTGTAAAGCAGTTAAAAAGTGTTAAGATTAATTTGTTGCAACAGATTTTTTTGTTAAATGAAGTGATTTCTAAGACGGAAATTGTTTCAGGTAATTCAGAAAATTATGATATTACCTACCAGTTAGGCTGAGATCTACTTTTTACCAGCTCTAAGCGCGGAAGAACCGTACTTCGGCAGAAATGCGCGAGCTTGACAAGAGTACCAGAATAATAATAGACAACCAGAAACAATACTTACGTTGTGTTACTTGTCTTATATGTGCTGTTACCGATGGCCCAATTCCCCTAATATCCGTAACCCCCAAAAGCCTGCCATATTAGGATTAGGATTAGGAATAAGTACTACAAGTTGCTTACTCATTTTCAAAGTCAGAGTCAAAATCATTTATTCCAAGTAAACCATAAATAGGTACTTTTGAAACGTCAAAATAGAAAAGTGGACTGTCAGTCTGTTCGTCGGTGAAGCTAGGTGCTCATTCCAAATTGTAGATTCGAATGAAGAACAACGAGCAAGAAACTCCATATTGTTTGCTTCACAAAACTTGAAAATCCTCTGGTGTTGCAGGTGTCCATGGACAGTGCCGATTGCTGACCAAGTGATCCGTATGAACGTTTGCCACCCATTCTAAAAAGAAGTTCTTTACGACCCACTACTATTACAAAAAAAAGGAAAATTAAAATAGTATTTAGCAGATGTTCTTAAAAGTAAACACTCCTTCCAAAAAATTACTTTCAGGCAAATGTTGGTGAATTTCAAACATAACGACTGTTAAGGCACGTGTATGGTCAACAAGTCTGTTATCTACCACGCAATGTAAATTACATGAAGCGATAAGTTCAGTCAATATTTATATAGGTATTTTACCTTATGTACCCAAGTACCTCTTCACATTTTTTATGTTCTACAGTTGGTTCAACACAAGTACGATTACTATGCGAAGTTGGTGACGGTTTCTTGATTGTTAGTCAACTATCCTAATCCAATTCCTAATTTTTTTTATTTTATTTTATTTTACAAGGCTATCACAACAGGTCAAAATCGACACGATAGAATGTTTCATACATTATAACATTTTGCACAGACTGCTACCCAAGCGTAATCACACAGCATGGTAAGCAAAATTATTCCAATAAAAACAAAAGTGCACTAACAGTAAAATCAATAATTAACAATTAGACTATAGTACAAAAATTAGCTATTCATCGCGGTACGGTAATCGAAAATATCGATATTCCTATTGTACCGCGATACTTCATTAAAGAGGCGACACATTCTAATAATAGAGTTATAGTATGAGGTAATTATTTTTATATATTTTAAGCGAGAATATGTTTGGCCTTCGAATATTATGTCTCGTGTTTAGATATATTAAAAAGACAGCAAAGCGGAATTACTAATATTACTAATAATATGACAATATTATAATTGTGAAAGCTTGTGACAATGGATGTATGTTTGTTATTCTTTCACGCGAAAACGGATGGACCGATTTGGTTCAAATTTGTTATGTATGTAGTTAAGATGCTCTGGATTAACCTATACGATTTTTATCAACTTATCACGCAGGCAAAATCACGGTTGGAAGTTAGTTCAAAATAAATACAGTTTATAGCCAAGGCTTATTAGCTATACAACAAAACAAGATTCATTAAATTTGCCAATTCGTTCCGGTGATTTGCGTAAATATGGGGTACCTAAATAGGATGTGATCAACATATCTAAGAAAGCTAAACATACAAGGAAAAATCAAAAATTAACACTTACTATTATCACTGACAATAGGTAAGTTTTTATCTGTCCCGGCCATTGATCTTATTTTTCCTTAACTTCCGAATCGTCATGTTTTAAAACACGAGGGAATAAACACCAATTATTTATAAACATGGCATCATTAAGTGATTAAAGTTTTTATCAAAATAATAATATTTTTGTAAAGTCATTTATTGATATGAATGAAACCTTCATCTTCCATTGCTTTTTTATGTGATCTATCTGTAAAAGAGTAGGCACATTAATTACCTGATGGTAAGCAATCGACGCCACGCGTAAAACCAGATGAGTTGCAATTGCATTACCGGCCTTTTGGGATGAGGATTTCGGAGATTTAGGAATAGGTTGGCCCTCCTTTAGCCTTACTGACACGGCAATATACAATGCCGTAGTTGTTTCACGCTGGTTTTATGTGAGGACGTAGTATCACTTCAGTCTAGCCAACACATTCGTGCCGAAACTTGGTTCTCCCACACCTACTTTCTGTAGGTAATGCAGCATTTTCGACTGCACGGTTGGTGCGGTGGTTGCGCAACTGGCTGCCGTACAACGTGTCTCGGGTTCGATTCGGGCACGGAACAACTCTTTATGCGATCTACAAATTGTTGTTCCGGGTCTGGGTGTAATATTGTATGTTTGTAACCGCACCCACGACACGGGAGAAAATCCTAATGTGAGGCAACATTTTTTTTATAAATACATACTATATGTATCTTTATTGGGAAAGACTTTGTGTTTACCTGTGATTCTGATTATGGGACACTAAGTTCCCGTTCATTTGGTAGAAATACAAGTACTTTAGGCTAATTAAATCCTAATATGATGGCACACAATGGCGATTCTCCTTATATGTGATATGGAAATGCACCTAAAGACCGTCCCTAGTTAGTGTTCAACTATTGCGGTTAACGGAAACAAGATATTATTATAAGGATTTAGGTTGCTATGGAACGACCTTTATCTCTCCTCTTTTATGGTTGGAATATTATCAAATGACTTCTCCTGCCTTGAGCATATCTAAAAGAAGTGTTAGACTCTTACTGACTTAAGCATATGACTGCCGACAAAAACTGTTGAAGGTTAACCCTCCGCTAGCGTCGGACATCATTGTCCGACATGGCGTTCAAAGTGTTAAAACCAATCTGGCCCTTATCCCTCTCAACCGGGGTGCAGTACATCATGGCTTCATCCTAGCTGGAAGACTATGGCACCTGCCCATAAATGCCGAAAATGGTTGTTGGTATGTCAAACACAACAAAACGATGGCACACCCTAAACACACAGTCCTATGCCGTAGTACAAATAACATTTTTTTTATGTAGTAGGTCTGCAAACGAGCTGACGGATTACCTGATGGTAAGCAATCAGCGCCGCCCATGGACACCCGCAACGGAGGAGTTACGAGTGCGTTGCCGACCTTTTAGGGATTGGGGGAGGGGAAGGATTGGGCCTCCGTTAATCTCACTCACACGGCGAAACACAACGCTGTGGTTGTTTCACGCCGGTATTCTGTGAGGCCGTGGTATCACTCCGGTCGAGTCGACCCATTCGTGCCGAAGCATGGCTCTCCCACACTTAAACTTAGCTTAATTGTTCGAAACTTAATTTACTTAAACTGTCTGGTATCGTGTAGCCTGATACGGGCTGCTAATCATATGCGACACTCAATCACTCATCTGATAGAACTGTTCCTTGAGGAAGGCTTTAAGATGTGTTGGACTGGAACTCGCACGACAAACGACTTCTCGAGCTTCGAACTTTGAAGGTCAACTTAGTCCTTACTCCTCACCGTTCTCTGCCATCATGGAGTGATGGTCAGTTGCAACATTGATGGAGATGTATACCAACTACCTCGTAAACCTCCGTACTACCTAAGGGATGACCAGAAAATGCTGTTTAGGTCAAGTACTTCGATATGCCATTGTATATGAAAGGATATGTTTTTTGTGAAGTGGACAACTCATTGACCTTAATTCTTAAGTTTCCGGTTTTTAAATATTTTTTGCAGGGTTTCCCGAAAATAAAAGGATAATTAATTACATAGGTAATAGTTTACGTGTACTAGGTGTGAGTAATCGTATATATATCATAAAAGTAAGTATGTCCCTATCAAAACTGTTCAGCTTAAAATTGATAAAATTGCTTATCTGAAACCGGTATCTGAATATCGCTGTTTATTTTATCTATAAATCGACGCTTTGCCGATCGGAGTTCAGTACAATCAATTCCTTCCTAACTAACTAACCTAGTCTAAGGTCTAAGAGTGTATATTTTGTGTTCAAAAGTAATAAATTAAATAAAAGTGTAAACATGAGTTCCGACGAAATCCCACGTAAGTCCCACATTTTATTTACCTATAACTATTATACTGTTTTGTGTTCGGAAGTAAATCCCGATTACGCTGACTTTCTTAGATATAATATTGTGTAATGACAATTTTAAATGTTTTCATTCCGATCGAAATAATATTTATGGCATTTTATATATACCTAATATTCGAAAACGAAATTAAATTAAATGTGATCTAAATTGAACATTTTATTTATAATTTCTAATATTTGGATACTTTGATTTTAATCCCCATAGGACAAAGTAAAAGCAACCTTGGCTTTTCTAATATTATAAGGAACTTAAAATCAGTTCAAGAACAAGCATTGATTTCTTCACAAAAGGTGTGCTAAAACAGTAGACGCACCCATTTTTTATGAGTTATGTCAATCACCACTTTCCTTATCTCAAAAGGGCGTGTCTGGCGCCGAAAGTCGATAAAAGAAAACTGCTTTTATTTACCTAAAGCTAAAGTATTTATTTGCAAATAAGTATATTTTATTAATTTATGATTTATGATTAGATTTAAAAATATTCTATTTTAAGATTTATGATTAGTTTTAATATTTTTTTTTTAAATCTAATCATAAATCTTAAATAAATTAATCATTTCTATTGTTTTTTTATAAAATACTTATTTAAAAATTAGTTAAATAATTACCATTGACTTGTTAAAACATTTGCATAAAATCAAATAAAGAGTTTGTCATTTTTATTTAATAACAGGTTCTTACAAATGCCTACCAATAAGATAACAGAAGGCTAGATGTCGAAAATAATGTTAAGTGGTTCGTTTGTCCTCATTCCGAATCAGATCTAACTTTTGAAGTGGTACTACACTCAACGAATAACACGAAAACGTATGTCGTATTATGTAAAATAAAGATAGCAATATTAACCTATACCAATTTAATAAACTTCAATCAATTCTCGACTCTGTTACTGAAAAGCTAAAGGTGGTAATTAAGTGGTTAAAAGAAACTTTTGTTCATTTGTAACGAGTTAATGGCATTGCCAATGGCTAGTTTAAAAAAATGTGTTCCTTGTCGACACTTACATTTTGAGCAAACATGGTTGATGATTTATGTATCTTTTTATTACATTTACAAATTTTGCGTGGGCCATAACTTATGCATGTACTGAATATTTAATTGAAGCAAATTCAAGCATCAAATCCACCAACGCATAACTTATAAATAGGCGAATTGTAGTTAATAGTCTTACTTTTTATTTATAGAAAAAGGCCAGCCCCCACCGTACGACAATGGAGCTGAACCCTCAAGAGCTGGAGTCACCTACCAAGGCGGTCAACCACAAGTGGTCGTCCCAGTAGTCGTGTCCCACCCCATGGGACCCAAACCAACACCATTTACCTGTCCATCTTGCAACCAACAGATTGTCACAAGAGTAGAACATAAGTCCACAACTAAGACACACTTGTTCGCCATCCTCCTTTGTATTATGTAAGTTTTTTTTTATTTACATTAAAGAGAAAAACTACTTTAACATCCCCCCGATGGACTATGAGATCTCTGTATAAGCGGGTTGGTCATAATTACCACTTCTAATAGGCTGGTTGAATATTAGACTTATGTATAATGTAAGGAGGCCGATAACCCTCTAAAGAATTTGAATTTGAATTTGAAATTAGTTCGAATTTCGAATTTAATTCCAATAAATAAAATTGTATGTTACATTTTTTATAACTTTTTTATAAAGAAAAAGTAGGTTTATTTTTATAGTTCGATACAAAAAAAAAAACTTTTTTAATGAACCTTTTTTAATTCATATTATGTATTTTTTTTCAGATGCTGTCCATGCGTTTGCGTGCCATACTGTGTTGACAGTTGCCAAAACGCTGACCATTACTGTCCAAACTGCAGCGCGTACATCGGCAGTTACAACCATTAAATCTATAGAACAGTGCGTACTTATTGGTTTATAACAAAAAAAAAAAAAAATTGTTGGACACAATGGTGATAACCGTAATCTTATCTCATGTTACTATTTAACCAACATGACCTCACGTAAAAACAATTCATCGATTATTTTTCAACGGAAAATTACGATGAATTGATATTTTTCGACAATTTCCTACGAATTTCCCATTTTAAAGTTAACGATAAACTATCGTTAATGTGATAAGAAATACGATAATAATATTTGTATTATTACTTTTTTCTGTCGAGTTGATAGTACATATCAACGCCGTCTTCTCAACCAATCACTGAGAAGCAGGTTCAAAGACTTTTCAAGGACACATGACATTACTTTTGTAAAGTTTTTATGTGAACTAAAATGTTTAATTTATAATGTAATTATGCATGAGCTAATTTATATGGGTAAGATTATATACTTATTCGCATAAATAAAGGCCTATAACTATACGAAACTTTACCAGTAGCCTTTTTATGGGCCTTCACAAAGTCTACATATGTATATAGGTATGCTTTAACTACATATCTGTGGATTAGTATATAATTTGTGTTTGTGACGTGAATATTTTGTAATTTTATTGTAATTTAACTATCTAAATTAAAATATAAGTAAGATAACTATAATATTTGTTTTATTTTTATTTGCACTGACTAAAAACAAACAAGGATTTCTGGCGTTGAAGATATTAGACATAGCTATTTATTCTATGCCAACATTTTCTTGGATATATAATTGTATGTTGGTAATTTATTTTGAAACTATGTTGGTACTTCTGTTCTTTTATTTAAGAACCATTTCGAATAAGAATAATGTTAAATTCTTTTTCAAATTACAAAAAATGAATATAATGACAGATTATTTACCTAATAATTGCATCGACAAACAAAATAGTTGTAAATTTTAAAATTATCTAACACTAAGTATGTAATTGCATATCATCTGAAGATAATGTGTTAACGGTAATGGTATTTATGTGTATTATTTACTGTTATCAAAGACACTTATATCCAGTTTTCAAAAGGCTTGACAAAATAATAATCAAATACTAACAACATATGTACATTTATATTGCCATGGTGTACTCGTAATCTATTTCATATCGAAGGCTACCTAGAGGGGCAAACGCAGTAAGGTACCGCAGCCTAGTCCTGGAGCAGGAGATGGAACGGGAGGAGGGGAAGGGGGTACGTCAACAAGAGTCTAACACTCCTCATTGCTTTACTTTGGACGAGAGAAGTCATTTGATGAGTGTCCAATTAAAAAAAATTCTGGCTTCTAACGCAAGGCTTTCTTACTGTTGCAACATAAATATAAAGGATTATTAGGTTTTTATTTTCACCTACATTCGTAGTCCATAAGTTTATTTTACTTGTGCTATAAAATAAAAATGTGTAATTTCAAATTCATAATCATCATCAGCCGGAAGACGTCCACTGCTCGGCAAAGGCCTCCTCTTTAGTCCTCCACGTAGAACGACCAGTTGCCACCTGCAACCATTGGCTCCCCGCGACTCTGACAAAGTCGTCGGTCCACCTAGCGGGGGACTAATTAATTCAAATTAGCTTTAGCACGCTGTATACTATATTGCAAGAAAATTATAGCATGACGCAAAAGGATAGATAATTCCGCATAGTGCACAATGCACGTAAAAAGTGGGCGTTGCATTTATCATAAAACCATGTGCAATAGGAGTGATAAATAGGTTATGGAAATCTACTTAGTCCTTGAGTAAGATAATAACAAAAAACTTTCATATATAAAAACAAAATTTGGATATAACCATAACTACTATTAAAAACTCAGTTCCAAGGTACAGGTTAGGAAGGTCGCTATGTCAATGCATATTCGGGCTTGCTGATAAACAACCCCTTTCCTCTCTTTGGGTAGTGGTAAGACTGTTAAAGAGACGTCATGGCGTCCTCACCTTTCACCTGATGGAGGTATTTACAGGTCACGAAACCTTCGATAGGAACCTGTTGAAGTCCGGAGGGGGGAAAAGCCCGGTTGTCATGTCAGGGCCACTCGCAGGATACAGTGGAGCATAATTATACTGGCGGTGTGCCCAGCTTGGGCTAAGCACCACCGTGTTCTAATTAAAGTGATTGGCAGCGGTGACCTCTCTCGTCCAGCCTTAGTCGTGGATATGAAGCGAGAGGAACTCGGAGCCCGGGTTTTCTTTCTGCGAAGCAGTGATGCCAGTGCGTGAGGGAACTATTCTTTGATTCAGCTAGGTAAATGTTATCAAGTTTTTCCAATAATCTGTCGATACCCAAGAAATAAAAATGAAATTTCAATCGATGAAATTTTAACAGGCACCCTTCTACATAAATGAACTCAAACTTAAATGTTTATTGCATTCTATAATTTTACTTTAGGTATAATGTGTTAAGGTGTTAAGAGCATTATGGAACCTGTAGGGCACAGCGAATTACAAGTTCATAAAATTAAATTATGTTAGTAATAAAATATGTAACTTGAAGTATTTTGAAAATGTTGGAATTTCTTGTAATATGAAGGTGTTGTTATTGCAGTTGTGTTTTCATATTAATTAATCTTTTAATCGTGGTAGTTCTAGACAAAATATTAAGACAATAGGAGCGCAACGCATGGACATTGGCTTTTGCTTGGGGTTGATAATTTAATTGTAACAAAACATTTTGTATAAATGAATATATTGTTTTTATCTATTTTTTAATTTTTTTTGGCAGTTGTATGTTGATAAAAAGCAGCGAATCACCATATGTCTAGGGAATCAACCAATCTAAATATAAAATGTCAACCAAATCGTCCAGCCATTTTTGTGTGAAAGAATCTCAAAAACTTTCACATTAATATGACGGTAGTCTGACCTAATTTTTTTAGGTGGCTTTAAAATTTCTGCTTAGTCATTGTCATGGTAATAACAAAGTGGTTATGATTATTATTTTTATATATTTAGTATTTGAGGTAATTTAGATTCAATAACGTTTCAAATGTGCGGTAACGAATCCGTATCTTAGGATTTTTTCGAAACAGTATTGTCATAACACAATTCCAGAATAATTTTAGCTCCTTTGGACTCAACATGCAAAACTCTTAGGGTTGGACCGCATCTGGCAGCACGGAGTCGTCTTTTTCCGTCGCACTTTCTCTTTCTGTCGCTTAGGACTGAAAGCTGCGATAGCGCGCGGCGGAATCCTCGGTGATCGGCGTCACGGACAAAATGCAATGGTCAGCAGGGAGACTCCGGAACGCTGAAGCGTGCAATAGCATGCTAACGCATCCTTTCACCGCCGATCATTTCGTATCGCATGGTATCTTTTTTGGCTGCGAAATGCGATAACGCGCGTTCGCATGCGGCAGCATGCAGCACGTGGTAGCACAGGTGGAATAGATGCGATTCCGTGCTGCCAGATGAGGTCCAACCCTTAACGTCGTTTCACCCGGGTGCCAGATAGCCGTACCGTACCACGTATCCGGCTCCAAATGTTCTAAGAACGAACCGGTACGTATGACACTTAACTGGATACTCGGGAACGGCGCCGGAATTTTTTAAACTTTTAATACAAAACCTTGACTTATACTTATACCCTCTTTTTGAAATATGGAAACACTAAGAATTTTTTTCATACAATAATTTATAGAAATAATTGCTCTTTATGGGAACCAAATTTATGGCACGATACACAACAGGTGGGTGACTGGGCTGCAGCACAACGTGTTGCGGGTTCGATTCCCTTACGGAACAATTTTGTGTGTGATCCACAACTTTTTGTTTCGGATCTGGGTGTGATGACTATGTAAAATTTTATGCTTCGATTCAGGGAAAATTTGTGAAAAGAATCTTCATCAATAGACGATGCTTTTTGAAATAAAACCTATATAGATTCGTCAATTCTGTCTATGTGTTAGTTAAAGAGTAAGTGACATACTCGCATTCTTTTAAACGGAACTATTGAAAATTTACAAGGCATGTTTATTTCATTAATTTTAACAGAAAAACAAAAAAATAATTAATACATTTTTGGGTCGCCCACACATGGACTAACAATTTTTTTTTACATCTCAAAGCATCAGAAATATAGAATCATTTATTCACTGTTATATGATTAAAATTTTTTGTAACCCTTACAAAATGCTCCAAAAATGAGATTAAAATATCATCATTTTCTAAACTTCCAACTTCGAAAGTAATAAGTGTAATTATTGAAACATATTTTATTAAAACTACAAAAAAATGCGCCATTCAAACTTCGACTGAATATTGGTTTGAACGAGATATATTATACCTATACAATAATTTTCAACACGTCATAAATCGTACACCGCAGTCGTATATGCCTTCTATCCAATCAACTCTAATATATTAAAAAAAAAACTACAAGAACAGAAAATAACTTTGATATTATGTTTCTTGCTGATACGGAACTTAATGGGAATTTGATAGGCAAGTCTGACCCGTACATGCTATTTTTTTAGATTTGACAGAAGTAAGGATAAGTTTTCGATAAAAATACGAGTGTACAAAAAATTGCATTTGGTACAATCTGAAATTTAATATTCAGTGTCATGTCTCTAGATCAGTTAATACATAATGAAACCCTCGCCATATTTACTCTATGCTTTAGGTTACCGGTACACGTGCACCAGGGCGAGGTCAATTTGCATAATGATAAATTTATAATTATTTAGAAAATGGCTGGCAACATTATGTAGTGAAGTGGAGATCAGTCAGCGCACGCCATTCGCTACGAGCTGTAGTTTTTAGTTTTAATAATAGTACGACAAGACTAGCGTAAATTCATTTAAAAATAAAACTTCACGCTTCACTACAGAGCTCAGATTTGAATACAATACAATTAATTAATCAAGATTATCGCTGAAGAAGTGTTTATCGCAATTTTATTCAGATATTCGATGACATAAAAATAATAATTGGAAACAAAATAATAACAATTAACACTAGTGTTGTGCGTAACGTCTAAAACATCTTGAGATAGATCTAGTTATTGAGTATCGTTATCTGTTTTCGGCGCTATTTTTAACTTGAATCGACTCATCGTATGAGAGAATTCAGTTGAGTTACGTGCTTCGATTGGACAAGAGTGAAATAGTGTTGTAAAAAAAAGAAACAATACAGTGCAAAAAATATGAACACAGGAGAATATAATGACCGTATGTATTTTATCTATTATTTTTATTTATTAAGCTAGTGTCTATTCGACATTTAAAAGTTCAAATTCAAGAATTTATTGTTCTTTATTTGAAAATTTTATTGTTATCCCATATGCCATTGTATGTTCATCTGTTTATTAAAATTCGGAATGCCTATATAAGTCAGTTATCACGTGTATTTGCTTAAATATATTCGCGGAAGCAACGCTAAATTCAATGCCATACATTTCGATTAGCGGTGACGAAATACAAGGCGCGTCTAGACCTCGCCATAACAAATAGGGTGGGCAAAAAATTCAGTCTACCGACTGAAATGCGTTCATGTGTTCTCTTGGTTTTTATTCCAATAATTTTCCTTGTTTTCTACGTAGCTGTATCTTTTATTTCTACAACAAATGTTGATAAGATATCAAACTTCTGACACGTGATGTGTCTGTGCATATCTCCGCAATCAGATTGTTTTTTTAAGAATGTACATTGCGTCACGTTTTGTTTTGTTATCTTTGATGATAGAAGAAAGGTTCGGCACGTACCTACTTTACTTTAAATTTATTATACCCTAAGCTAGCGCCGGCGTTCGCGCACCTTTTGTCTACCATGATTGAATTGTTAATTCTTGGTATTAGTTTCATTGATGACTATACTGCCTTGTATATCAAGTGCAAGGTCTAGAGGTTAACTACCAAACAATATCTGATGAGTTTGGTTCCCTGTCAAGTAAAAGAAGTCTGGAATAAAATGGTGCCCCATGTTTGGAAATAGGCTTAATGCTTGCTATATCGGATAACAACTAGCGGTCGCCCGCTGTTCCGCCCGCGAGGACGTCGATTTTATTTTCTCCACGTACTAACCTTCTCTGGACTTCCCTAAATAATTCAAGATTAAAATTAGCCAAATCGGTTAAGATATTGTTGAGTTACTAGCTTCTCTCGCGCGGTTTCAACAGCTGTTCGGCTCCATTTAATCGTAGCGTGATGTTTTATAGCCTGTAGCATTCAGGAATATTGTAGCTATCTATCTGCTACATATAGATTTTTGTATCCCTTCGTAGACCACAAGACGTGGTGTTATGTTTTGTCGAATTACATCAAAACATTCCTACACTGTAATTTATAGTTTCCTCCGTCAAAAATAATAAAATCAACTTATAAATACATATAATACTCAAAAATAATTAAACTTGCACTCATAATTTTTTCAATATACTTCATATTCATTTTTTTTTTATAATTAAAGTGAAATAAGTATGCTAGTTGACAATAAAATAATACGACGCCACAACGTTGTTTCAAAGAATATTATCATTTTTGGAATTTGGAAAAAGTATTGAATTTGACATAGTTGGACAGTTCCCTGTTATAATAAAATTTATTTTGTTGCATTCACATCCAATCACGTATCTATGTGTGTAGATATTTGTGAGACTATTATGTTTATAGATATGGTAAGTTATCTTCATTGTTATTTGAGTCACATAGACATCAATAAAATTAATGAGGCGAGTCCATATAGGTACTGGCCAAAGTTTTAGGCTCAGTGATGTTTCGAAGTGAGACATTCAAATGTATTTTAACCTATTTCGTTTCAAGACTCTTTACTGAGCAGTCTTTATTAATATTAAAAAAAAATAATGTTAGGAATTCCATAAGTTGATGATACAGATTTTTATTTTAACTATTGTGAGATACTCGACTAGTTTCAAGCCATGCTACAGGCCCATATTCATACTGCTACTGAGTAGCAGCGCGACAGTCGCCGCGTCGCGGAATGCTGCTCATGAACATGGACCTCTAACATGGCTTGAAACTAGTCGAGCATCTCGTCAAACAATTACGTGAGTAAGCCGAAAACATAATAATTAATTGATGATATAAATGTTAAAGTTTATGAAATATTTTTCGCGTCTTTCGGTTGTAGCGTGATATTTAATATCATAAAGAGTTCCTCGATATATGGACTATTCAACAGAAGAATGATTGTTTAATTTGAACCAGTAGTACCGTAGATAACTCTTTTCAAGCAAAATCTTTAGCTAATATTTTAATTATAACGTAAGACAGAAATATACTCAATGTTGCAGCATATCGTGACGGGCTAGTAGCAAACAAGATTCATACATGTCAGAGACTTGCATCTCATATATTATGTTTGTCGTATGCTGTCAAACAAAATGATATTCTGTAAGCATGTGTCCGCCTTTATAGTTTAGGAAAATACATAAGCTAGATTTTAATCTTTCAATCTTGGTATCTCGAGACACAATATGTGCGACGGCGTTCGCTTGGGGTTTGGTGCATTAAACTTAAAAATGCTAATTACTTCAGCCGGAGTTGCGGGTAAACAATGAACCATGGCCTCGGTCTAGAGTAGGAGGAGTTTAAATCAGTTTGAGATTCTCTCGTGCTCCACCAAGAGCAAGAGAAGATTTGATAATTCTCCTTCTACAAAAAACTTCTGCTAGCTGAAACTAGTAAAGACATAGTTTATTTAAAATATTTTTAGTGCGCACTAATGTAATAATTAGTATTCTAGTTTTGTGTACACTGTTAAAACTCTTTTAGCACGTAGTAGCGGAAATGGTATATCAGCTTATCTATTTCGCCGACTCTGTCGTTAAAAAGCGCAGAATAAAAACGACAAAATGGAAAATATTTTTTGAACCCTGTTTGAAATCAATGTTTGTTACACTTTTCTATGAACAACTGTTTCTGGTGTTCTATAGGCATTTCAAACCTCTATTTTTTATTCACTATTTAAATAGGGAAATTTTCACCTAACTTCAATTTGTTTTTCTTAATCTCAAAGCAACAATTTTCTTTGAATTTTGCAGGTACCTACGATAAAATAATTATGTTCTGACGTTTTGTTTCGTGTTTGTAAATCAGATAGTATACTTATTTACTATTATAAATTATGTATACAACCGCAAAATCAATGAATAATGAAGGAGATTATTTTCCAATTGTTTGTTCAAATGAAAAGTACTATACGCTATAATTAATTATTTTGCATAATTATCAACATAAACAGTGCAATTAACAAAACAATACCATCTAACCTATTCAATTCGGTCCACCCATTAGAAAGTTACACGTAAAAATATATTTCAGTAATATTATTTTTTTGTTTCCAGCTAAGGGGCAGGGCATGCCACCTCCTTACACAGACACACCTCAGCCTCCACCAACCGCTCCTTTATACCCCCCTCTACAACCTGGAGGTATTGAGTTGCAGCAACAACACCAACAACAGCCACCAACCGTGATCCCAGTGCTTGTGGGAACACGCCCAATGGGTCCCAAAGCAACTACGTTGACCTGTCCATCTTGTAATGCTGAGATTACGACAAGAGTACAACACATGAGTTCTACTAAAACACATTTATTTGCACTTGGACTTTGTTTATTGTAAGTTTTCTTTCTATAGTTATTTTTAAGGTGACACAAAACCAGATGGATCACTTGGTAGTATGCAAACGATGTCTCCAATGGACACCTGCAACACCAAAACAATTTGCAAACAAGCAGTTGCTTTATTGATCTTTTGAAAGATGTTAGGGATTTTTGGATACGAGGCGATGAGAGAATTTGGGACCCGTAAACCCTCACACGACGAATTCCAACGGGAACCTTGGTTACAGTAAAGTGAAAACTTAACTAAATTAAATAAAATGTATTTTAACATTTGGTACAAGTTTGAAGTAGCTTATCAATATTCTTTAAACACTAGATCATTGCTGATTATCTCTCTGTAAGAACCACTTTAAAATAAAAAAGCGAAGAATTAGCTATAGGGGTATAAAGTAGATTCGCTGTCTTCACGTTTTCCGCATCATCATCACCATCATCATCAGCTGGAAAACGTCCACTACTGAACAAAGGCCTTCCCCTTAGTCCTTCACGTCTAACGAGAAGTTGCCACCTGTATCCATTGGCTCCCCGTGACTCTGACAATGTTGTAGGTCCACCTACCGGGAGGCCTGCCCACGCTTCGTTTTCCGGTCCTTGGTCGCCACTCTTGTACTTTTCAGGCTTTTTTTTTATAAAGTTTTTGTGAGGGAAAAATCGTCAAATGACTTTACGTTTACGATAGTACTTTACGTTTTCCACAGCTATTAATAATTACGATTATTCTTATTCCAGGTTCTGGCCTTGTGCATGTCTACCATACTGCATCGACAGTTGCCAAAACGCTGATCACTACTGTCCAAACTGCAACGCTTTCCTCGGCAGCTACAGCAATTAATATCAAAACCGAATATACATTGTGATCTATTCTATCATTATATTAGTTACAACTTACTCACACTGTTATTTGACGGGGCAACTCGATTAATTTCAAGCCACGTCAGGGATTCATAGTCATTTACAGCATTGCTAAAAGTGAACTATTCTATATTATAATAAAAAATGTTTTTTAATAATATTACGGTGCTATACAAGCTTACTATATGTGCCCTATAATATAATAATCTTATGAATACAATGTATCTAAGCATTTATTTAATACATCATAAATGGCCCGGCAAGGAAAATTTAAAATGCCAATTCTTAGTTTTTTTTTTACATACAACTGGTTAGACGTATATCTACGTAATGAATTCATGAATATCAATGAATAAATACATTTATTATAGGAATAAAGATATGTAGGAATCAAGCAAATTACATTTGAAGTAAAAATAACAAATGAAATAGTATATTTTATGTCTTAGAAATATATCAATAGTATTTTTTTTTCATTTAATTATTGTTGTGTTTTTCTGATGTGTAATACACTACTATTATGTAATATGTGTTATTAAAAACGCGAATGTTTGAGTGAAGATGTGTAGCTTTTGGTTATTTAGTTCAGAGATAAATAATATAATCTGAAATAATACATGGGGTACTTTTCCCCCCATCGCGGGCGATACTGTTGGAGTTGGATAATATGTATACTGTAAAATGAATATGTATAATTTAAGCGAACAAAAGAATTTACTTCAAAACAAAAAGTGCCTTTTTGTAATACGTATAAGATTTACTTTGCTATAAATAACGTGTAATTTTCTAGTTTGTCTTGTCTAGGCACCATTGGCACTAGGCAAACAGACCAAGGTTATCTTGGTCTGTTTGCTTGAGAATTAAAAATAAATGAGTAGGTCGCCTGAAGATTTAAAAAGAATTACCTAGTTTTAATCGTTGTGTAAGCCAAAGGAAATATTTTAAAAAGTAAAAATAAAACTTTTTGCGACTTATCTTAAGATACAATTTCGTTTAACAACAATAGACTGCGACACAAAGATCTGTCAATGAAGTGATAGCCTAAAGGCTAAAGGCTAAATTGTGATTGCTCGATGTTTTGCATAAATATCCTATACATACATTTATAATTATAATTAGTAGGTATTTTTAAGAAGAATATTTGCTGATAAGAAACTTTAAGAATTCGAATAATATTCGTAGCACGTGTAAATTCTTAAGAATAATTAAATTAATATTTATGTTTATATTAACCTTTTGATCACAAGAGAAATAAGAATTACAGATAATGAATTTTACCTATAAATATTCCAACGAAATACAAAGTATTATTTATTATATATTATTTTTGTTAAATGTTTATTGTTTAATATTAAGTATTATAAACAAAACATGTATGTTAAATTGTAATAAAATAAATAAATGAAAAAAATATGTTTTTTATTTTATTAAAAGACTCAGAGGTCACGATTTCTACAAAGTTAAAATCATTTATTCCAACTAGATAAACCACCAAGACTTTTGAAACTTCAAAAAAGAATAGTAGTATGTCAGTCTGTTCGTCAGTGAAGCTAGTTTAGGCTACAAGTTACTGGAGGCCTATGATGGGTCCATGTTGTGGTAGACCGAATTTGAAGAGCTTGCTTTTCATATATGACTTTTTGTGTCCATGGGCGGCATGAATACCTTACCATCACGTAATCCGTCTGCTATCACATAACAAGAAGAACTTTTCCCATAGCACTAAGAGGTTTGGGATAGTTGAATGTTTTGGACATTCCTAAGGTTCTAAAGGTTTTGTAGATTTTGGACAAGTCCCACCCCGTTCTCATTCACTACTCAAGTCTGTAGTATAAACGACTAGATAATATAACGACCGAATGAAAGTCATTCGAGCCGCTCATGGACTCTTTCAAATCCAGTGAGAAGCTCTCGCCACTTTTCTGTTGCGCTGCGGTATCATACCTATTAAGCCAAAGACGGGAGAAAAACTGGAATCCCGTTAAACAGTAAGTTGCTACTACGGGAATTATGCAGCTGATTCTAAAGACCAAATTGTTACTTCTTCATTTTGATATTTGCAAAATGAATAATTAGTAATATGGTAAGTTTTGAAAAAGATGGCGTGACGATCTAGATGCCTATCGTCGAGAGTGATGGACATGGTCGAAGGATCGGGAGGTGTGAAAGCGATATGGGGAGGTCTTTGCCCAGCAGCGGGACATTACAGGCCAGTAAAAATATGGTAAGTTTCTACAACTAGTGGGTTCTTTTTCCGAGACGAAAACAGTGTTTTCCGACATAATCATATCTAAGTATTACGTCACTGCCAACATTTTCATTAATAAAAATTATTTGTCTCCGTATTTTGTAATTTAACTAGATAAATTTGGTCGTATTTTGTACTTTAACTATTTAATTGTTCCGATCTAAAATAAGTATAAATGTTATGTAACTCTTTGGGAAATGCCCAAATATAATGTCTAGGTATATATGTAGGTTTACATTAATGAATCTGTTTTCGTGCAAAAATGTACAAACGCGTGAGTCACCATAATCGTTATATATCATATATACCTATATGTATTTACCTGCTTATCTAGAAGTGTTATCAATATTTCGTCGATATTTTTTATCTATAAATCGACTATCCGCTATAGAAAATTCAGTTTGCTAACGTTTCTCGAAAGAGTGCCAGTGAAAAAGTGTAAAAAGAAATAAAATATTCGAATCAACAAAAATGAATGTCAACAATGAACAATTCAATGACCGTGAGTAACCTTTATTTTTGGTATTATTACAAAAAATATTATTGATTATCTAATTTTGTTATTCTTGCTAATTTTTTTTAAAGTCAAAGTCAAGGTATTTATTTTAATTAAACCTCATACAAATACTACTACTGACTAACTACTACTAACTACTGACGGTTGTTAAAATTGTCTGTCCGCTAATTAAAGCTGAGGCTGCGGGGCAAGCTCAATAACGTACCGCGGCCTCGGCCTAAAGCAGGAGAAGTAATGGGGTGGTTTTTATTTAGTAAAAGTCTGATACTCTCTCGCTCTCGCTTTTTCCTGGGCGAGAGAAGTAATAAATAACAATAAAATAGGCTACTAAAAAAAAAGCCCGTCAGTGAAGCTAGATGTTCACTTTAAAAACATAATTTGTGGTTGCCTGCCTCGACTAATTGGGTTCAATTCTTATTATTCGATTTTCGAATTACTCAGTAGGTCAAAGTACGCTAGTTGAAATTGTATTGCAACAGTTTAAGTGACGCATCCCACTAATGACGTCAAGTAGATGTCACAATTAACGTTATATTGTGACGTATTTTAAACCTTATTGACAAAGAAAATTGCCATAAAAACTATGAAGAAACAATATCAAATACGTGTCAAACACGTCAGTTAAAATACCTGATCTATTAAGTATGACTCATTATCAAGTGACGTTTGTTATTTGTTCACGATTATTATTCGATTACTTTCCCTTTCTTATGCTTATGTACTTAGTAAATATGGATACGATTCTTAAACTAAGCTAATAATAATGTTTAGTCGGGGTTGGGGATGTAAGCAGCTTTAAGAACAAGAATAAATGGAGTGGGTTTAGTCACCCACTGAATTTATTGAGTCCACCACTATCTTTTCACCTCACACAGGTCAGGAGAAGTATTTTTTAAATATCCTCAAAAAAGCTTATAATAGTAAGGTCAATGTAGACAACATCGAAACGGGACACTATAAACGCTACAAAATAAATGAAGCCAAAATATTTATTTTTTTAAGAACTTAAGGAGATTTACAATTAGTTTCTTTTAGCTTAGACGCAGAAAAAATGTTTGATTAAATCCATAATAAATAAAGGAACATCTTCTTTTCAGCAAAAGGCCAGGGTATGCCTCCACCATACTCAGATGCACCAGCAGGGCCTCTTCCCACTGTAGTACACCCATACCCTCGCATCCAGCCTGTAGGAGTGGCATTCCAACAGACATCAGGCGCCGATGTCGTCCCTGTAATCGTTGGCAACCGAGCCATGGGCCCCAAGCCCAGCACGATCACCTGCCCATCTTGCAGAGTAGAAATAGTCACAAGAGTAGAATATATTAACTCTTCTAAAACCCACTTGTTTGCTCTTGGACTTTGCATTGTGTAAGTATATTTATTTTTAAAATGATTTTATTATTTAAAAACTATTGGTGCGTGTTAAATTCCGATGCTAAAGGGATGATGTTTGAGTATTCAAATAAAAAGTAAAAGAGTCGAGGTTATCGTCTAACACATTGATAAGTGTATTGAACATAATCATTAGCTGGAAGACGCCCACTGCCATGTAAAGGCTTCCCTCTTAGTTGTTCACGTGAAACTAGTCTCGATTCTGATGATGTCGTCGGTCCATCTAGAGCGACGTCTGCCCACGCTACTTGTACTTTTGTTGGTCCAACGGCCGTCTGTCCTTCGAGCGAGTCTTTTGAACATCGTCATCTAATTAACCTAGTGTATTTTTTGTTTTTTATCCTTAATCAAATAATTGATTACAATAAAAATAAACCTAAAGGTACTTCCTTATCTGGTGTATTATACATTTTATCTGATAAGCCGTTGCTTTGTTTTTTCCAGATTCTGGCCATTGGTTTGCCTGCCGTATTTCCTCGACAGTTGCCGGAATGCTGACCATTACTGTCCTAACTGCAACGCTTACATCGGTAGCTACAACAACTAAGACCTCGCTTAAGAAATTTAAGGACTAAATTAATAAGAAACTAGCAGCACGCCTTGAATTTGTTCGGATGCTGTTTGCCAATGTTTTTCGCACAAATCTAGTTTTAACAATACGAACAACAAAAGTGTACAATTTGGTTATTTAGTTCGGGAGTTCGGTGCGCAAATACGATAAGGAGATTATTTTTTAATATAAAGATTTATATGTATAGATTGTTGATTGTGTTAGCGTCTATTACCTACGTGGCCATTGGCATCGTGTGATCCTTGCAAAAGTGATGAAATTATTTAGAATATTACGAGGAGAGAAAGTCGTTGTTTCATTTAAAAAATAATCTATATGCTTTTTGTTGTATATTTGTTGAAAGACGTGCGTAGAAGTATGATAATAGGCGTGAATGATAAAAATGGAAGAAGGATTTTTAATGAGCTAGATAAATTTAATTTAAATTGTGGTAGTAATATTTATGTACTAAGAATAATAGCTAAATATTTTTGTTGAAAAAACTGTAAAATACTATTTTGATAAGATGTTGAAATATTTTACGTAAAAATATTGAATTCCTTTTTCAAAAAATCTGTTAATGCTGCTTGAACTATAACATGTTTATTTTTATAGTTTTTGGTTGAGTACTGACAGATTAACTAACAAAACGTACCTATGATTGTCAATTGTCTTTCACAATCTTATAGAATCTCTGTGAAATGACAAATTGACAGATGTGTCGATGACGCCAATATCAAAAGGATATTGACCCCGAGCTCAGCTGTTTTCTATCCATAAAGAATCTTGCCTCACATTGCAACGTAACGAATGTTTGTAATATTGTACTTACGTATTGTTATAATGTACGTATGTGTGTGTATCTGTATATCGCTTTTATATTATTTATAATTTATTTAAAAAATAGCAAATAACTTGTACTGAGCTTTAATAAATAAAATATAAGACAAATACATGTTTTTATTTTTTCCTTCCATATAACGTCATTCAAACTGATTTATTAGTTGTGCGATGGGCCAGGTTTAATTCCGACCTTAGGCTACCTGATTTTTAAAAAAATAATGTTGAAATTAAAAGCAACTACTGAGTGACAACAGTAAGGAGGTGCCGGTCTGGTGTAAGGGAATTGCTATTTATTATGAAATTATTAAAAATGAGGATGGCTGAAAAAGTAATTTTTTTATTAATCATCAAATGACTTCTTCTACATAGAGAGAGTGTCAGACTCTTACAGCCGGTAACATCACCCTGTTCCTTCTTCTGTTTCGGGCCGAGGATGCGGTATTGCTGAAAGTGCTCACACATACACGTCCGTACAAGTAAAAAGTATATAGCGCCACGCAGCAATCTATTTATGAGTCTATAATGAGCCATTTTAATATGTTTCCATTCACAAATCGAACAAATTGTTCCTGATAAAACAAGAGAGAATCATATTTATCTTTCTTCTTGTACTGATTTCTTTGGAGGAATTCGGAAATAAGATGAAGGTATTCCGTACTGCCAGTTGTCGGACTCGTAAGGGAGAATAAAAATGTATATTGATTTGTTTGGAAAGACCAGAATTGATTGACTTAGTCGATTTGGTTACATCACATTCATCAGCCTATAAGTGCTCACTGCTGAGCAAAGGTTTCTTCTCACACGGAGAAGGTTTGCGCATTCATCACTACGCTTGCTCAAGGGGGATTGGCGATTTCAAACTTATAATTAGAAATTATAAGTCCAGGTTTTCTCACTATGTTATCCTGCTCCGTATGATAGTGGAGTCTTATACCTAATCATATAATCGTGGTCGATTTGGTTACGCGGTTCGTTAACCAGTGTATTTAATATATATTCTCCCTTTTATTTCCTTTCAAACCTAAGAATTTCAATGGACTTCCATACTTGTTTGGAAGAAAAAGAACTATTGCGAGAACCAGCTGTAACACCATCGCATATTCAAATCCAGCAATTAAAAGAAGTAAATAGTTACACAACGAGTATTACGACCACCACCACTCCTTAAATAATATTTATTCCTGTTTTTGATAAATATTGCACGTATGCGTAAAAGTGCTATTTGATGGCCTATTTGCAAAAAAACATTCGTTGTTTCCATAGATGTTTGGTTTGATCCCCGTCACATCTTTTCGCCGTGGCAAAAACGTTTCCATCCCTATCACATAGATGGTTGGCAGTCAACAACTGTGAGACGCATAATTTTCTGCCAGCACAGCAAAACTTTGGAATGATCTTCCGGCGGCGTTATTTCTAAACCGATACGACCTTCAATCCTTTAAAAAGGGTACTCTTTCTTTAAAGGCGGGCAACACGTCTGTGTCACCTCTGGTGCTGCAGGCATCCATGGTCGGGTGATCCGTCTGCTCGTTTGCCTCCTATTCCATAAAAAAGAGATAAAGTTACGACCATTCTTTGAACAAAACTTTTTCTATTTTTAAATATTGTTATGATCAATATACGCGTTGACTTGTATGATTGTCTGATAATATTTATTGCTAAGTACTGCACTAATACGAAAAATAATGTTTTAGCTTAAGAGTATCCGATAAAGAGCGTCAGTTTTATGTTTTCGTTTAAGGAAAAAGATACAAAAATTACGTATTTATTGATATTACTACAATGCTAAGTAATTTTATCAGATAATTTTGATATGTTTGGTCAGTTTTGTCTGGTTAAATAAAAAGGTTTCGATTTATTTGTCGAGTTAGCATTTTTTACTAGCCTATATTGTCCCACTGCTGGGCAAAAGCCTTCTCGTCTCGTTTCCACACATCCCGATACCCCACTAACTTTCGACCGTGACCACCAGTCACGAAGATAGGCGTCTAGATCGTCACGCCATGTCTTCCGGGGCTTACCCTGCCTGCGGCCTCCATCCTGAGGTGGCCACTGGGTGGCAATTGTGGCCCATCTCTCTGGATGCATTCGGCTGTCGTGTCCGGCTCAGTTCAGCTCCATTTTCAACTCCTTGACATAATAAAATATGTTATAATTCATTGTAAACACTAATCTCACTGTATTTTGTAAGTTAATTTTACCAATTCTGGTACATCACTTTTGAAACTAAGGTCGTCTTATGCGATAGGGCAACAACAAGTCGTAAATTCACGCCGGCTTTTAATTAAAATAATTACGACTGCACGGTTGGCGCAGTGGCTGGGCAATTGGATGCTGTGCAATGTGTCGCGGGTTCGATTCCCGCACGGAACAATACTTTGTGTGATCAACAAATTGTTGTTTCGGGGTCTGGGTGTGTTGTGTATGAGAATTTGTATGTTTGTAAACGTACCCACGACACAGGAGGAATTCCTAGTGTGGCGCAACGTTTTTCAAAAAAAGAAAAATAAGTAAAAGAATTAGGCTGTGGTCTCATTACGTTCAAGTGAATCCATTTGTGTCATAGTGACCCTCCAATACTTTTTAGGCTCTCTTAAACATAGTGTATTTGGGATTATGATCTTTTCCTAATGTTTTGCTGAAACCAGAGCGAAAATATTATGTTGTACTATGACGCACTCTTTCCATTAAACAAAGGTGCGTTAATCTATTTGTTATCTCGATAAACGAACGACGAAACGAACGACGAAAGTCTCAAATCCTATAAATATAGAAATAAAGTAATATTTTAGGGAAATTAAAAATGTTTTTACATTTAAGTTATATTCAAAACGCCCATAATTTCCAAATCTTAAGTCCCAAAAGGCATATAACGCATTCGTAACTTCTATCGTATCGCTGGTGTTCATGAGCAGCCGTTGTTTGCTTAACTTATTTATAAAAAACCTAAATCATAGTTAAACGATAAAAAAAAAACTTCTCCATACTTCTAGAACGTTGACATGTTTAGTCATCCCAATGAAATTTATTCAATGCTTGCGTCGTATTTTATCGTGTGAAGAAGGTTAGCAGTTACCCATTACTATCCCTACTGTTATATCTTAAAATACACGGGAATTTATATAAAATATTATTGATGACCGCGCTGGTCCTTACACGTGGAATCGTCCATTGCAATGTCAGTGTTTCCGCCACATTGCGACTGTTCTAGAGTCAAAAGTTAGTGTGGATTTGAACGTCGTCGCGGATACATACTTTTGTAATTTTCCTAAAAGTAAATTAAATGTCTTTCCAGTATTTTATTAAATTTGTTTTTTTTAAATCGATCTGAGACCCACCCCGTAACACTATCCTACCCTTCCCCAATTCCAAATCTCCGATTCCCCAATTCCCAAATCCCTAACAACCCGCAAAACGGTGGGAATGTACTTGTAACTCCTACTGTGTTACGGGAGTCCATCGGCGTTGCGATTGCCTTACCATCAAACGACCTGTCTGTTAGTTATAGCAGTTACCTTAGCACCATAACAAAAAAATATGTATATTGTATGTAATCTTTGACAGATTTATCGATTCATTTCATATTGATAAATAATATATTACAGCAGTGAGCTATAGCTGATAATACTACGTTATCATATTACATTTTTTGTTAATCTAACTTGTATGTATTTAGTAGCGAAATATGGAAAAAATTTGGATATCTCGTCTATGTGAAGAGAGATGAGTAAGCAACTTTTTTACCCTTATAATTAATGATGTAAAAAGTATTATTTAATATTACAATACTAGGAATCTAACTCACGCTTGCTTGTATTTTCTTGTACGTGGATTTTGTCATGTATTCGCAGCCACTATAACGTTGCGCGGGAGCCGATCTCTTAGCCACCGCTAAATATAGAACTAATTATACTCGTAATTGTTTAGTTTGATAAATTGATTACGTAAATAGACGTTTGAAACTTTTCAGAAAATTGTAATCGCCATTTTCAGAGCCATTTATGGCTACTAAACCCAGTTTATTAATTTTGAACGCAGTCTTTGTGAATTCAGAACAGCACGAATTAACATTTTATTTTTCAAGAACAACCATTAATGCTTTCTCTAGTTAGTTATGTAATAAAAAGTGACCTGGAATTATACTTGTTTATTATAGTGTAAAGGGTAAATAAAAATAACCTCGTCCCTTAATTCATCAGCATCATCATCATCAGCCTATAGATGCCCACTGCTGAGCAAAGGCCTCTTCTCATAAGGAGAATGTTAGAGCATTAATCACCACGCTTGCTCAATGCGGGTTGGCGATTTCAAGCTTATAAACAGGAATTATAAGTCCAGGTTTCCTCACGATGTTTACCTACACCGTATGTCAGTCAGTGGTGTCTAAATAATCATAGAAAGAACATATAACTCTGAAAAAGTCACATTGGTACCTACTTGCCAGGTTTCGAACCCACCCAACACCCTCATGCATGATAAGCGGGCTCTTTAACCTCCGGGCCACCACGACATCGTCCCTTAATTAGTTTTAATGTATTGTTTTAATTATCAAAATTTTAGATTATGTGTTATTTGAAAAAATATAGACAGTCATGTAATATTATCTAAACAGATAAACAGGGGAAACACAGCCTACAATAAATAAAAGGAAATGAATTATCTAAACTCGACCGGTAATTACGTATTAATTGATTTATAATTTTATATTGTAACGTTTATTTACAGATAAAAACTATTACAAAATGTACGATAATGGTTTTATTCTTATCTTTATTTATTAGTGAGAATCTATATTTATATCTGTAATAAAATAAAATATTTGAAGTTTATTCTAAGCGATGACATAACTTCGCTTGGAATATGTAACACCGTTTGGTTCAATTTAAAACAATTGCTTCGAATAATTCAATTACGTAGGGTCTCGTTTTGGACATTCATACGTGAAGTATGTCAAAGCTATGCTTTGGTTAGGTCGATCGGCTCGACTAGAGTGATATCACGGTCTCACAGAAAACCAGCGTGAAATAACCACAGCAATGTGTTTCGCTGTGTGATTTAGGTAACCTACCTCTTACGTAACTGATCCACAATGTCGTATGGTGGGATTTGTTTTCCAAGCAAAATTTAATTGTGCGATGTCTAGGCTTTGTTAAGTCATCTTCTAATTACTTTATCGTTGACCTTTTATCTGACACATACTAATAGCATTTTCAGCCAGTAAACAGTTGTAGTACTAGTGACAGTATTTTGTAATCTAAATATTTCTGGAATAGAAAATCATTTATTTGTAACAACCCGACACCGGATTTGCACTGGTCCAATCCTAATACGAAATTTCTTCTCTATACAATACATATATAAACCTACCTCTTCAATCACTCCACCTATAAAAAAACTGCATTGTAAATATTGAAGCGTACATAGGAATACAGGGACTGAAAAATCGACTAGTTTGTTTTATACTATGTAGTGATTAACATTAATAAACGTTGGTCGTAACGTTCATTGATCCAATATCTTTAGCAATTGTTGTTCTCTTTGTCTTATCAATATGGATTGGAAGCTGTGAATCATCGATACAATCAGTTGCGAGAAATTGTGAAGGAGTCAATGAATTGGCGTGAATCATGAAATGACCAACCATGAACAGTATCACACGTAACTTTGTGACGAGTTTAAAGTATTGCTCTTGATCCACGTAATCAAAGATATTTTTTTAAATGAAAACACAATATTCACTGCGTAACTTACTCATACTAATAATTGAGGAGAATTATGTTTTTATTTTCTGAAAGGGGAAATTTTAGTAGAACATTTTAAGTGTGGAAGAGCCACGCTTCGGCACGAATGGGTCGGCTCGACCGGAGTAATACCATGGCTTCACAGAAAACCGGCGTGAGACGACCACAGCGTTGTTTTTCGCCGTATGAGTGAGGTTACCGGAGGCCCAATCCTTTCCCTCCTCAATCCCGAAATCTCCAAATCCCTAATCCCTAAAATGTCGGGGTAACACACTTGTAACTCCTCCGTTGCGGGCGTCCATGGGAGGCCCTGATTGTTTACCATCAGGTAATCCGTCTGCTCGTGTGCTGATATATTACATAAAAAAAAATAACAAAGTGATCCAATGCTGTTTGTGTCACTGGGTGAGGCAAGAGGGAGTGTTAAACTCTTACTGAGTAAAACCACCCTGTTTCTTATTCTACACTGAACCGGTTCATCTCACTTTAACCGCAACACCGAAGAAGTGTTGTGGTTTGTCCCATAAATTATAAAGAGTGTTCGTTTTTGTGTCTTTATTACAGGTAGTGAGAGTTACATTTTAATGTGCTTTTTCGTATATAATAGATGTGAATTTGTGAAGAAACATATATTGTAGATATTATTATCGATTATATTAAAATGCTTTATTATTAATCGGGAACTTAAGAATGTAAAAAGTTGGTAACATTTCAATTCAAACGTAACTTACAAAAATATTTCATAAAACAATATGAAATATATTGATCCTCTTTTAAATAAAAAAAATAGTACAGCGAAAACATCAAACACATGTCTAGATGACTTCTTATTGAATAACTTTCAAGAACATCTATAGATATGGAAAGAAGTTTTGGTCATATCGAAAGGACTAGTACACTTAACGTCAATCAATTTAAACTGGACCAGTATAAGCATACCGTTGAGTATGCGAAAAGATAAGCAGAGCGATGCCAAGATAAACTGGTTATATAATGTTTGATGGCAAGCAACACTGCTTGTCAACAGTCTTTAAAATGTTGTTTCCTTAAATTCGTTGACGCATCAAATTGAGATAGTGCATAGCCCGGATTGCGGAGTAAGCGCAATGAGACATTGCTGCCTCGGTCTAGAGCAGGAGAAAGAACGGACAGGGGGAGGGGTTTAGTCAGTAAGAGTTTGAGACTCCCTCTCGCCTCACCTGGAAGTCATTTGAAGATGAAGAAGAAGGAAGATTGAGGTAGTATCATACCTCTGTACATTGCACAAATTATTGTTGTTCCTTACTGTTTCACTAAATTATTTGCTTACAAAACTGATGATTCGTTAAATTATGTAGGTTTTTTGTTTGCTAATTGTCAGGTCAAGTTGACTGCCATATGCTATTGTTAGACTTACGTGTTATTTCAGAACCATTTGTATACATTAAATACGTCATAGGGATTTTGATTACTCAGAGTTTTAGAGTCAGAGGATAATACCTTAGCTAGAGAAAAAGATTCTCGCAAAAGATTGATTCTGTCATATAATATGAGAAAATTAATAATGCAGATCTCAGAAAGTCGATGGTTGTTGCTTGCTTTCACCCGGGCGATCCGGATGACACGGTCAAGTCAAGTTGAAGATTCTTGTGGATGACTTGGCGATGATGATGATGATGATGATGATGATGACGTTTACATTCGGAGTAGCTTGATTATGTTTATGGTTATGGCTTGATACTAGTCTTGAACCCTCGACCAGTTTCGGGAATAAAGCGTTCCCATAATGTGTTTTTTTTTGTAATTTTGCATTTGGCACTTTGTTTGTTCTTCTATTGATCAGAAATGAAGTTAGAATTTTCTTTTTTTAAACGTTGCGTTGACAAACATACAAGTTCACATACACAAAAACCACCCTGACCTTATCCATGTGGGAATCAAACCCGTAGCACTGGCCACAGCCAGTTGCAGTCAAAAAGGTTAAAAAGTCTCTCTTCTTTTCAGGTGTTATTTATCAAAATTGTACAGTGCCTAATTAGAATATTATCTAGGCAAAAGTAATGTAGCAATGCTATCTATATCCGTGGCCGTTATCGACAAATCCTTTCAGCTGTGTTTGATAAGTGTCACCGTTATCAAAAGATATTGTCCATACGGCTTTTGTTCTATCGTTCCAAATATTTGTGTGTTTACTGTTTAAGTGAGCAGTGTTTTAATAAAGAAAGAGTTACACTTTGTTTTTAAAACGTGTTGGTTTTTGAGCTAATTCCGGATTTTGAGATTTACGTTTGGAACGGAATTTAAATAAAAAATGTGAGTATTTAATTTGTTTGTTGTTTAAAATATTTTATACCCAGTTGAACTATATTGGAAAATTTACGTACCATTATATCTCTAAAGTAAAATAAAGTTCTGAAACAAACTTTAACAATGTCGGTTTTAAGTTGATATTTGATTGGGGTTTTGTTGAAAAAAATCTTGTAAAAATCAGATTTTTTTACTTGTTTCATCACAATATTATATTTTCTTAATTGATAAGCGTTGATGTATTATTAATGACGTGCGACTAATCACCTAAATAATTTATCATACGCTTATATTATATTATTTTCTTCTAGAAAGAATTTTTGCTTTGTCTGATATGCAAGAGATTTTAGGATGTCTTGGGTGCAATACCAAAGCTCCTACGGAGTTCTTTTTTACAGATTCTATAGCGTTTTTTTTTTGTATTTAACTAAGTATAATTGGTAAGGGGCAGCAAGAGCGAGCTGTGTGTAGCATACACCATGTTCTTTAGAATTTAGTTCTGTAAATAGGTTTGTTTTGTTAGGTCTTTGATCACTATCTGACCTATTTTATGACTACGCTTTCGGGCAGAAAGATGTGATTTTAAAAGAGAGTTTGATTTTTTAAATGTATTCAAAAGATTTTAGATAACTCTTTAGAGAAACCATAAGAAATCAGAACCAAAAACCATCATCATAATACAATAAAAATACATGGACTCTTAAATTTTCCAGAAACAATGTATCCAGCGAATCCACCTCCATACCCTGGTCAAGAGCCAACACCGGTCCAGGTGAACGTGATCCACGTCCAGCCAGTGGCAGGACATTATGTGACTGCAAGTGGTGACACGGTGCTGATTGGTCAACCCGTAGGAACTGAGCCAACATTGGTCGTCTGCCAATCCTGTCGGCATCAGATCATCACAACGACGGAGATGCGACCAACTGCCAGAACACATTTATGGGCGTTCTGTCTGTTTATTATTGGGTAAGTTTGATTTAATATCTTTCTGCTTGTAAGAACTTTTTTGCTCTGACTTGTGACGGTTGTCTGTTAGGAACTTGTTTAAGATCATTTATCTTAAATATTATGCTGAAATCTCGGACCCTGGCATTCGTTTAAGAGTAAGCATAATGAGAGATATAAACCTTCTTTCTGAAGAATTACCTTTTTTTGGAATGGTTTTTATTTATTATTTTCTACAACTAAGCTAACTTTTTCAACTGTGTGTAGTGTGTTTTTCGTATATGGTATGTGTCAATGTACATGGAATACTTATTTATATAATTTAATGCCCTTCTTAGTCCATACCCATTTTTAGCCTGCCAATTTGAGTCAATAGACAAATCACACTCTAATTATATAATTCTGTATATTTCAGATGCTGGCCTTGCATGTGCATACCTTACTGTACTCCAAGTTGCATGAACATCGACCACTATTGTCCCAACTGCAGAGGTTATATAGGCAAGTATGAGTTTTGAAGAAAACAATTCGACCATGTGATGCAACGTTCACTTCGACTGTTTTGGGATCTGCAGTTTCTGACGGAGGTTTAGTGTCATCATATTGGTTCTGCCTCTTTATCATCTATTTAGTTATTTAAGATCAATTTTGACGGTCTAAAATAGTTATCGAAAAGGATGAAGAAAGTTATTTGACCTTGAGCAACACAACAATGAGATCGATAGTCCTGGATCTGGTGTTCTTCTGATGGAAATTTAGTTTTAACTGTCAATAACTATTACAACATAATTTGCTGTTCGTTGAGGATTGTGGACGATGGTATAAGTCACGTAAATAGTAAAGTCTTTTCTGACATAAAAATTAAAATTACAATAAAAATTGTGTTAAAAAATTGGTAGTAAGTGGATTGATTAGCACGGCATTTTTTATTACTTTTTTGTATATACTTAATGTCAGATTAACAATTTGTTATTAAAACTTACTTGTTCCAAATATTTTAGTAGGATTCAAGTGATTGGAACAAAGTTAATACCGTAAAGTCCATAAGACATTTTTTGTAGTATAGTGTACATTGGATCCGCCGTCCGACATTTTTTTTCCAATCTCTAATTAATCTAAGATAGATAGTGATAAATTAGGTACCTATTAATAGGTTATCAATTACCGAAAAGTACCTTTGTAATTGTGATAAGGCCAAATATACACCTGTGTTTTCTGCGCCGATAAATTAAACAAAATTGATTATAATAGGTATATTAAACATAGTAAAATATGAATTTTGATATTGTCAAATTTGTAAAACATAATATAAACTAAGTCTTTTGTGAGTCGTTCTAAGGAATTTTATCCACGTCCGGTTTTAATTAAATAAAGTGTAGCTGTATCAACAATATTATTTGATAACGTATCTACCAGTTTTTAATTTTATCATATTTGTTACGTTTTTTTTTAAAGAATAAAAATATTTTCTTTTTCGTGCTACGCAATTCCGTCAAATGTAAATAGATCTTAATGCTCATAGAATAAGGTGTAATTTGTACAAAACTGAGGTGGAACATTGCTTTTTATTTATTGTAAAAAACATAATGATCTATGATGTATATTGTAAATATAAGTATTAAAATAAATATTTTTGTTTAATCATTTTGTTTGATTACATTTTGCAGGTATTGAATTTGGTTAATATAAGAAAATAACATTGACACAACAGTAGCATTTGTCATATCAGTTCCATACATCACGAACGGTCGTTGGGTCCTTATGAGTGTGGGAGAGCCAAGTTTCTGTACAAATGGGTGGGCTTGACCCGAGTGATACCACGATCTCACAGTAAACCAGCGTGACACAACAACAGCGTTGAGTGTTTCGCCGTGTGATTGTTGTTAGGCCCAATCCTTCCTTCTCCCAATCCCTCCTCAATCCTTAAATATCTGAAACCCTAATCCTCAAAAGGCTAGCAGTGCACTCGTAACTCTTTTGATGTTGACACCCGTCAATGGGCGGCGCCAATTGCTAACCATTAGGTTTTTTTTGTGAGGGGAGTATCATCAAATGACAGCCCGCCCAGGGCCGGGCGGGAGGGAGTGTCAGACCCTTACTGACTAAAAATCCCCCGTTTCTTCTCCTGCTCTAGGCCGAGGTCGCGGTGCCTCATTGCGCTTACCCCGCAACCCCGGCTGAACATCAGCCCTATGGGGCCCCGGCTGTGGTGGTTTATTGGCTCTTTGAGGCGCGCGTGGAACGCTACGCGCCATACGTTCGGGTCTGGTTCTGGTCGGGCGGCGAGGTGCCCTTACTCGCCGTCCGCAGACCCGCGCTTAAGGTGGCTGGAGATCGTCCCTTGGTCCCCAACGCCCGTGGTGTCGCCTGCTGCTGCGGCTGGGGCATGAGGAGGAGGATTGCTCCCTCACGCGGGCCGCCTCCCTGCTTGCGAACTATTAGGTATTGAGTGTGCTCTTTTGTCGCCCTATATCATAAAAAATACGCCGTCAGTAACATTAAACATCGTGACGCCAAATAATACAACGATATATATAAATGTACATTGTATACTGCCTATTATATATAGAATACATATAGAAAGAAATAATAACTTTGTTCCATAATATGTTTAAAGTGGGAGAAAATTGTTTGGTGTAATGTGTCTAGATGACTTAAGACATTTTTGTCATTATAAAATATGTATATCTAATGATGATTTAGTTGTGGTAAAAATCAGTTAAGTATGATAAATTAATATTCAATTAACGTAACTAGTTTAATAACAATCTTTAAGATTTGCCACAGCCATTTGATTTGCCGGTTTTAATAAGCCATTCTATTCAAGGAACTAGCCTGTTTACACACTACATACAACTCTGATAGCTTCTGATCGGATGTTTTATGGCGAATCTATTTCCCTCAAATTAATCTTTCATTCTGGTTGCAAGTCGGGTTGTTTGGTAATGACAATACCTTCATTCATTTCTGAGCAAACACCTCTCCTGATGGTAAGCAATCGGCTTCATCCGTACCTCTAAAAAAGTTACAAGTGCGCTGCCGGTCTTTGGGGATGTAAAAGATTTAAGGATAAGGAATTTACCAACTTCACTCATAAGCCAAAACTCATACAAACCTTGTTTACGCTGGTTTTCTGTGAAGCCGTGGTATCACCCCAGTCGAGCCGACCCATTTATGCCAAAGCGTGACTCCTCCAAACGTGACCTGTAAGAAAGTCATATCATATTTACGTGGTAATGGCGAAGCGGCTTCTTCCATCTTGCGACTGACACCATAAGGAATATTTTTTCTAGAACTGATTGTTACTGCTACTACCAATAGTAGTTTTTGTCTTTTTATTAGTACTTTTCTTCTTTGTTCCGTCATCTAATTACAGCATATAATAACAACCGAATAAATTTCCCCATTATTTAATGGATGTTATTATACATATAAACCTTCTTCTTTAAACTCTCTTTCTGTAAAAAAAGTAACAAAATCCGTTGCGTAGTTTTGAAGATGAAATTTTAAATTTTAAATTCGTGCTCTATTAAATAAAAGGGGGAATTCCGTAAAATTCAAATTGAGAACTGACCAATGCGCGGTTCGGTAACAGTCACTCAGATTATGGTATATAGTTACAAGGAGCCGTTGTTTGCAAAGTATTGTATAAGTACTTCATGGTAGACATATTTTTAAATGTTTATTATGTTCAAGTCATAACATAGATAAGAATTTCTCACGTCATTATACTCAAACATCACTTTAAATATGTGTGGTAAGTGGTAAAACAAGGACTCTAAGAAATTCTTTATTTCAACTGAATAAGGTTGTAAATAAGTTATTATTACTTGTTTTTATTTTATTATCAGCGACCCACCCCGGATTAACACAGATACAAAGCTGATACTAAATTTCTCCACTATTTAATTTAATGTTACTACTTTATAAAATACAGCATCAAAATGCAATGCGAATAGAGTAATATAGTAATGTTAACGATAGATACAGATCAATTGAAAAAATACTGTGATTTGTTAAAAGTTTTGAAAAAACCAACCCTGACTGAGATTCGTTTGAGAGTACGGCAAAAAGCATAGTTCTCAGTAATCAAAGGAAGCATAAGTGGGTTCCTATGTGTTGACGTATCAAATAACATTCCAGCGCCAATAGTAAAAAAAAACTTTATGAACACTACACAAGGAACACATTTGTCAATCATATCACACGTCCTTTACGAACTCTTGAACACAATTGAGATTTGAAAAAAAAGTAATAAATTAAACTAAAGTCGCCAACGACCTTATGTCTAAGATCTTAAAGGTTATTTTCGTACTGTAACAAGTGACAACCAAAATAGGTAGGGGTCTTCGAAAGAGCTGAAAATATTAATTCGTTTGAGTTGCTTTAAAATCTTTCAAGAAGACGGTTGCTGGTTACGGAATTCCATTTGAGTCAGCTAATGTCAGTTCCTGAATAGTATATAGAAAGTAGTGATTTTTGAAGAAGAAGTAATACACGGTGTCTTCAGGTTCTATCATTCTTGTGTGGTAAGTATTTTTTTATGTAATAGGTCGGCAAAGGAGCAGACGGATTACCTGATGGTAAGCAATCAGCGCCGCCCATGGACACCCGTAACGGAGGAGTTTGCGAGTGCGTGTATTATATTTTTTGAGTAACTATACAAATGGTTATAAAAGTGACTCTAAGAGCGACTACCAACCATGGGGTGTGTGATATGTTTGGCTTGGCCTGCCTTAAGGGATTTTAATAAGCTTATATTTTAGGTTCAGCCGACAAAATATGCCGCGAATTAAAAAAAATATTATTATAATTTTTTGAATAATTTAGCTTACCATGCTGAATGTTGCAAAATATTAAACCGTATAAAACATTGTATCATGTCGGTTGTAACCTGTTTTAAAATAAAATAAAAATAATATTACCATAAAATCTGATCCATGATTACCATTAAATCTTAGGCCGGCAACGCACTTGTAGTATACATCCTTTGGTATTAAGAGTCTCCATGGGTGGGGCTGATTGCTTACTATCTGGTAATCCGTCTGCTCGTATGACCTATGCCAAAAAATACCTGACAAATTTTGATAAAATAAGGGTATTTCTTATTTTTGGGTGGAAAATCATCAAATGAGATTATCTAGCCCAAGGTGAGGCGAGAGGAAGTGTTAGACTAATACTGACCAAACAAACGGACGCCCGCAACAACAGAGGAGTTAAGTTGCCGATCTTTTGGGGATAAGGGATTTAGAGGTTTTGGGATTGGAGGGGGATTGGGGGAGGGGAGGATGTGGCCTTCGGTAACCTCACTCACATGGCGAAACACAACGTTGTGGTTGATTCACGCCGGTTTTCTGTGAGATGTAAATGTATGTAAAAAAGTTAATTTATAATTGAAATATTTTGGGATTGTGTTTATTAAAACAAATATTCTATGCAACATCATTTCCTATGAGAATAGCTTAAATAAGGAAATATTATAATAAATAATAACTTATTATTAACTATAACATAATTGAATATAATTATGTCAACGAAAACTATGCCATCACTTCCCCTAGAGCTAATAGAGCTAAAATAAGAAAGTCTAATACATACATATTTAATTGGTTAATTTAATTTATTTATATTAGTTTTATAATTAACTAGCGGCCCGCCCCCGCTTCGCACGGGTCCAACTACCTCGCTATTAAAGTGATGACGCTTTTTCCTAATCTTCCCTTTAACTTTTCTAATATTTTCTTTGATAAGAACCTTCTCCTGACAATAACAAACACAACAAAAAAGAATTAGCAAAATTGGTCTAGGCGTTGTTGAGTTATGCGCTTACCAACACATTTTGCGATCCATTTTTATATATAAAGATTATTCACATACACATAATTAATATGTATATAAATAATTATAGTGCAAATAACTAATAACTGTATAACCTGATTCTTTAATAACTAACTCTCAGCCATCCTGAAACGGTAATGTCCTACGAGGCTGCCAGTCTGAAGTCGGTGGTTGTTGAGGATTTGTATCATTGCCACCAGTGGGCACCTAAGTTTCTTTAATAGCTTACATATGTCTATTTCGGGTGATAACCGGTGCCTACATAATACACAATAATATGAACGTGAAGGCACCGGGGGGTTGGTACAAACATAAACATCCCGATCATCGTCTTTACAGTCCATCGCAGGGCGTAGGAATTTATAATCAGACCGAATAAATTACAAAAACAATGGACGTCGACGATCTGTCCCCTATGACAGTCACAGCGCTTGCTCTCAACCATAATGCGTACGCAGAACTGTCTGATTGACGTTCCGCCAGAATACGATTCATTGTAGGTACCCTCGTCCGATAAATTGTGATAAAACCTCCTTCAAAATTCAATTTAAATAATCGACACGTCGTCAAACAAAACCGTGTTTAGAGTATTCTTCGGTAATTTTATAAGTGATTT